AACGAGATGGGCACGAGGGAAACGGAGGATCGACAATAAGACGGATTTCCAGCTGGTCAATAAATTTCCTCTCTTCTCTCTCTTCTCTCTCTCTCTCTCTCTCTCTCCTGCACCGCGTGCCAGTCGTATACGCAACTACGAGCTTGGATTCTGAATGAACGGACGCGACGTGTTGTTTCGCAGAGGTGAACTTCTTTTTCCCTTCAGGTGGTTTACACGCGTGCATAATGGCCGTTTGCGGCTGTCGTAATCCATGCGACGACCACGACAGTTGAAAGCCCACGTTGTCTTTCGGTGTTCAATAGTGTGTAGCTGTCTCTCTCTTATTCTTTCTCTCCTTAATGCGCCTAAGCAATCGCAACAGAAGTCTATCCCGTACGCCTTCGTTCTCTTATTTCCTTTGTCCGACTCCTTTGCGCAGCTGCTTTTCTGTTTATACGCGTTCGCGCTGGTGATTAAAATTTGCGCAGAGAGGGCGCGAAGCGAGGATGAAGTTAGCTCAGCTAGAAGTTAGTCGAATCAATCGAGCTTAAGGGTGATCGAGTTCAACACTGAGACTATAGCCAATTTGTTTAAATTTGTATATTCTAGAATTGCATATGCTGCAACCAAAATGTTTCACTGGTCTAAATTACCTAGGTTCATCGTTGTCATTTAACGGAATCATTTCATTCAATTTACAGCTCATGGATTATCTAAATAAATAACAGTTGAAACAAATAGAAAAAGTAATTGGATACTGTCTCATGCCAAAATCTATCACTGAGTTTATTGTTTATAGTTCATTTATTGTTTATAGTTCATAGTTTAATGGTGTTTCAGGTTAAGGAAATTTATGATTTGTAATTGAAATTACATTTAAGATAGTTTACGTATCATATTAGTATATGCAAGTATATGTAAGATTTGCAGTGTAAGACAACCGGAGGATTATAATAAAATAATAATATAAATAAATAATATTAACAATGATAAAATATAATATATATTATTATATATTATTTTTATTATTATATATTATTATATTGATAAAGAATCCATGTAAGAGCATTATATTTAATCCTCTGTACTAGAGTATTGAAAGTTATATGTTTTATTATATTTTATTATATTTATTACAATATATATCTATAAAATTAGATACTGTCCCGTATCGATCAAATAATACTTTCAATAAAGATCACGTAATACATAAAACATATAACTTTCAGTCCCCTAGTACAGAGGATTAAATATAATGCTCTTACACGGATTCTTTATCAATTAATGAAATCATTTCTTAAATCTACTTGTAGACTACCAAACAAAAAATAATTACACATCACTTAATAAAAGTGCCACCTTGGGATTTTATACTTTCAATGTCGCGAAATACACCTATAATTTTTTGATAATCCCGTCTAAGTATAATAGTTCTGAACGAAAATAACAGTGATTCCTTGATCACTGATTGGCTCGGTGGTAATGGTCATGCAACAATTTCTATTTCATTTATTTCTGATCTGCATATCGGAGTGTACAGAGTGTTCAGTTCGAAAGATTGAAATTACAAGCGGAAGTGCGTTGATAATCGACGTACGGCCGTTAGGTCACCTGACTTCGATCAACCCAGTCGTATCTTATTACTTGTTACTCGGTTCTCGGCGACGAGCAGAGATTCCTATAATTAGGAGCAATAATTAATTAGGTCGACTTTCTCTGGCTCTGGTTGAACCAGTCGGCTCCAAGTGACTCCTCTTACTTGTAACTGGCCGATCGATGATAGTTATAAGCTCCTTAATTAGACCCGTCGTCGATCAACGAGTAATTTTGTCGATGATCGGCAGTACGTACATAAATATATATATATACATGTATTATATACGGCTCGTAATTTTTCTATCAGACTATCGTTCAGGATTTCTTTTTTCTTTTCTTTTCTTTTCTTTTCTTCCCTCTGTTGACCGTGTTTTTATAAAATTATATTTGCGTAACTATAAATTGTTATTTACAGACCGTGTTCTTGTAATATTATATTTGCGTGGCTATAAATAATTATGTTGTATTTGTGCAGCTATAAACTATTATGTTGTAATTATTTTGTTTATCTGATAATTCTTCCAGATTTTTTTGTGTTTCAACTGAAATTTATTTCGGTTGTATTTTTAATAATTGAAAAAGAGGATTTTTAATCCTTAGTTGGTTCTGTGTATAGTATTAGATACTATTATTAGCTGCTATAGTAGTCAAATTAATCATTATTATAATATTGTTATTATATTATATATTCTGTAATATTGTTATTGTATTATTATATTGTAATAATAAGTGGTACTATATTATAGAATCAATTAAGCTAAACTCTCTCCTAAAATATTATTATTAAAAAAAAAGAACCTTGTTTGTTTTAATTGTTAGGGATATTAAGTATAAGACAAAATTTTTTTACTTCCGACAGAATTAAACTAACTTTAAATTCGTATTGATTCTACTTACTGTTACTAATATTATGTGATAACTGCTATTATGTACAGAGCCAAATTACAAAAATACGTTTTTTTCTCTTAATTGACAAAAAAATACAATACAATACATACGTACATTGTATGCAAAGATAGATGAAATATTCAAGGCAAAGTACTCGTTATGGTGCCTCGAGTTCCACTTCTCTAGTTGTGTTCACAGAAACGTGAATTTGCATAAATATCATACAGCCTGGTTAAAACCGATTTGAGGATCGCGAGTGTGTGTTGTATATTGCATGAGCGGTAGTTCCTACCAGAATATCGTCTACAGATTAATTCCTATAAACGTTTCAAGCTCCGCAACAATTAAAAATACACGTTTCAAAACTAAAGTAACGTATCATACTTTTTTCACGAATTTAACACAACGTGCAACATAACACACACGCAGAGATGCTTCCATTAATAATATTCGCTGTGTCACGCAACGCAATTATTGTAGAATTTTTTAATGATAAAACGATACTGCTCGGTCGTTGCAGATAGAAAAAATAGAAAATTCGGGTAAGGAGGGGTAGATAATTACGTAATCGGATTAATATCGGATAATGCCGTTTTGGAATAACAACGAAGCATAACAGAACACCGGCGCGTGTTGCATGCGCTCGGTTTTAATCGATTATTTTCACCTGATCCGCTCGAGTTCGTCCGCGGGCCCCCGCGGCTTTGCCCTCACACGGAATTTACGTGGGTGGCATATGCTTAGCGGGGGCGTCTCGTGTAGCCGGTGTGTTTCACATTCAAATCGAGGAAGTTATGTCAGGGCAGCGTTGCATGTATAAATAAATCGCGACGAATCCGCCGAGCTAATCCGCCGAGATTTACCCCTTTCGTTATCTCAGCCTGGCGATCGGCAAATTTCCAACTTTCCTGTCTTCTTCTCGTTTCTGTTTCTTTTCTGTGTGTACGTACGTACGTACATACGTGTCAAAGTGCGCGGAATTTTCGTGACAGTCGTAATTGTAATTATTATAGAATCGGTGTAAATTATCGTGAGAAAATAAGAGAAGATGATGATTAACTTTAACTCGTGGTTAGTTGTGGAGAAATAGGACGGTTATAAATGAAAAAAATACCCCGATGAAATTAAAAACGAGAAAAACACTTGTAATAACGAAGCCTTGATAATAATCGAGTTATGATAAGCAACAGTAATTGCTTGTCCAGGAGAAAGCTTAGTGCTAAATAACTTTCACAATAATTAACACGTGCTAATTTAATTATAGTTATAACACAAATATTAAAGTTCACGCTTCGACATTAATTACAAATATCAGAAAAAAAAGAGTAAGAATTCTCGGAAATTTCAACCAACAGGATTTTTCTTTTCTTTTTTTTTTTTGAGAATTCTTCGAGCAATAAAAAAAATCGCTTCGACAGTTTTATGAAGTGAACACGTTCGGTAGTAAAGTAAAAAGTTCGGAGCGTTGTGTGTTTTACGAGCATCAGAAATTCCTGTAGCACAGAAATTCCATAGCCGAAAAGACTATCGTTGATGCGAAAATTTCGATGGGATGAGTCTTAGAATGGTGCAAGTGACTCATGCTGCCTTGTGGTTCGTAAGAATAGCCCGATGAATTCGTCGATTATTCAAATTGTACCTCTCATTCGCATTTTTTATGAACTTGCTTACTTTCTTACAAAATGTACAAATATCCCTGAATAATATTCTGTATTATTATTAGACTATAGTGAACTTCCGCCATTTTCAGATAGAAATAGTGTAGAATATTTTAATACAGAATATTTCACATACCGTGTTCGAAGATATTTTACAAAATTTCAAATTACCATGTTCCTAATAATGTTCTGGAATTCTTCTGGAATTTCTTTTTTCATAATTTTTAATTGCTACGATCAGAAAAAGTCGAGTGCAACTTCCGATAATTATCTCCAATAATTAATACCGTAAACAGTGTAATCAGTATCGAGCTCATTTGCATCGCGCATTAAAAAGCTCGCCAAGTGTCCAAACACGGTCGTGTTTTTGCGTCAATTTAAAGGCGAACGAAAGCCCTGTAAAAATCTTCGCAAATCAATTATCTCCTTTCACCGGCGCGATGAATCGCGATTCTGCTAAATTGCCAGGTAAATATCGTACAATAAAGAATCTTGTTTACATCTCTGCCAATCTCTGGTTAACCACGGAGGGAAAAAAAAAAAAAAGAAAGGAGAAACAAGAAAGAGGTAGAGAGTAATTTAAAAAACGAGCTCGATCACTTTCGCCGCGACGGAAAGGATACGGATACGGTTTGATACGGAACCGTTATCGAAGCTCATTTGGCTAAAAATTGCGCGGACAGTTGGACGAAATTTCACGGTCCGATTGCTCGCGAGGAAGAAAAAAAAGAGAGGGAACGGAAAAGGAAAAAAAGAAACAGAAAAAGAAAAGAAAAGAAAGGGTCAGCCAGTAGGTAGCCAGTTTCATTGAGGAGATAAAGGCCAATCATGCTCGCAGTGACTCACCAAATTTTTCGCATACTTTTTTGCCGGCAGACGGGCCACGTGAGAACGTCGACTGGAAGCTACATAATTAAACCGGCCAAACCCTGGCGGAAGAGCGACAAGGATCCTCTAGAATTCTCGTTGGAGCATGCGATCCAGAGGATAAGGCCATACGTCGTTGATCATGATCGAATGAACGACGCCGACGATCACGGTAGAAATCGTAACTGCGGCGTGATGGGTGAGTTGAAATTATTTGAAACAATTAGACTGCGGATTTTTATGGCTTTTGTTTGGGTTTTTTATTTGTCAGATAAATTTAACACAGTATTTATATAATATAAACATACGTACGTGCACGTATAATACATACATACATTTGGTACTGTTATTGAATTTATAAACGTATATATTATATTATATACTTAAATTTATAAACGTATATACTATATATTATATAACATATAGTATATATTATATACGTATAATTATATAATGTATAGTGTATATTACATACGTATAATACATACATACATTTGATACTTTTTTAATTCATATATTAAATTATGTAAATTATATAGTGTAATAGTTGTAATTGTCAGTATATAAATGAGACAAAAGTAGTATGGCTGTAGAAAGTGATTAAATATAGTCTTACTTTCGAAAGATCAAAAGATCTTTCTTATGATTTTTGTTGTTATAATACGACACTTGACATATTTGAATATATTATAATATATTAATATATTATATATGTATTATATGTTATTATATATGTATTATATGTTATTATAAACGGTATGAAAATACTGTAGTAAATACTATAGTGATCAAATAATTTTTACAGTCATTTATATGAATGAAAATATAATATTTCGCTGTCTAGAGATATTTGTCTGACTATCGTATTGATTAAATTTTCAGTCAGCTGATTTTTCGAAAGAGGTGATTGTTAAATTAACCATCTTTATTGACACTTTTTAAGATATACATATGCTTGTAACTTTTCCTTTATATAAATTACCATTAGCTACCATTTCGAAGCGAAAGAAACAGTTATTTCTTAATAACAAGCTTGAATTCCTTCGGTCTTCCCCATTTTTTTTCAAATACAATTACCTTCCTTTCGTTCTAAATTCTATATTCTAAAATGTACTCGTGAAGTATTCAACAATTGATACCGATCGACGTATTATACACCCTTCGCGAAGCCATTTTTCTGCAAAACATTTTTTACGATCCGACGATTCCACCCAATAAAACTACATTACATTCAAATTCTACCAACGTTTCTCCGGCTGCGTTCATAAAAATATGAATTTGCATAAAAATCCGCGATCTAGACGTCGCTCTCCTAAAACCACGAATCTCTCTCTCTCTCTCTCTCTCTCTCGGTTGTACCACGCCGAAAACGTATTAATAATGCATGCAGTTGGCGCAGCCCCGCATTAGGAGGGACAACGATGCACACGTGTGCATGCGCGCGGTTCGTAGTACTACAAAACGTCCAGGTGACTTCGATACCTATCGTTTTATTCATGACCAACGTGTGTACGTGTACGTTGGTTGGTTCTCTTTTAAAAGAAAAAGAACCACATGTCACGCGTGTGTCGCACGGCGAAAGTTCATTCGAGCGTGCCGCCTTGGCCAAGATCCGCGAATAAATAAATGGACAGCTGAGGCTGGACGATCGCCTCTTCTTTCTCTCTCTCTCCTTTTCTCTCTCAGCTCCACCAACCGGTTTTTTCGACAGCTCGATTAACATTCCGTTGTCGGGCCGTTTCATTGTCCACCAAGGCGCGGATTAATTATTTCGTCAGCCCTCGGCCAGTGTCTCACGTTCTGCTGATCGTTGAGTTCCCTCAGGGATTCAAGTTGAGACGATCGCGAATAAGAGGTGCGCGAATCTACTTTCTTATTCAGGTATCCGTCGTGGTTATGATTTCTCTTTTACAGCGTACAGGTGACGGAGTTTGGGTTAGGCGTGGATGGGATGGACACATTTTGAAGATTTCGCTCGTGGGCGGATGTGGACTTTGTTGTCATTAGTGTGTCAGCAGAATTTCGAGACTATTTTGAGATTTATAAATGTTAACTATCTTGCTAAAGGAACTTACAACAGTGGACAAAAGATAGATTTAAAATTATTTGTCTGTATGATGTTTTATGATATTGATGTGTACGTACGTACGTCCCATCTCGTACCATTTTTTTTAAATCTCCTACTATCTCTGTATGCACTGAAGTTACTAATTACCATTGAAATTAAGACGTAGAATATAATTATATGTAAAACTACATCATATTATAGTCACGATCTTTATTGTATATCTAGGAATATAATTTTACATTAGCTGAAATTATCATTTCTAAAAGAATCCCTGTTCCTTTCGCATTTTATTTGAAATCACAGTCAAACATTGAATATAAGTTTGCTGTTGATACGAAATTACACGAAATTACAAACATTTACTGTTGATACGGAAAGATGTAGTATTTTTAGAATGAAACTTTCAGTCAAATCAAAAACGAGAAATTTGAGTTTCAGCGACGAGAGGATTAAACTACGAATAATTTCAAAAATAGAATCCCTTTTCTGTTGAAAATTTCAGGAAGAATATCAAATTAATTTCGATACCTTCATTCAGTTATCGATAATTAAATCCACGAGTTGTACGTTTGATCGTACACGCGATATTTATAATATTTGTTTCTCTCGTTTCGCACGTGATTGATTTAAGACCGTGATGATTTATGAACAATACTTGGGCTCGTCAATAAAAAGATACGATACAAGGATGCATTATTAAATTCCGAGAGCGGAGTAATTAATTTCGCCGTGTTCTTTCATCCCCTCGAACTCTAGAAACTTTCAACGGTAATACAATTAAGCTTACAAATTGCATCCTTAGCCTCGCGTGATTTATGACTTCATCAGAAAGAAGAATTGCTTCGTAAATGATTGATCTCTAACCACGATAGTTTAGAAGTAACATCTTCACTTGACAAAACAATGACGTTGAAGAGCTTCTCAAGGAGACGCGTAATTACATGAAACAAGCTGCAGTTGATTTTAATCAGAGATCCACGGAAAAAGAAAACAAAAAAGAGAAGGAAAAAGATATTATTAACAATTCAGTAATAATACATATACAATAAATTCTTTCTGTAATACGAAAAATTCATTTATACAAAATTATTTGAAGAAATGTAGTTTTATTACGAATAACTAATTCTTTTCACAATCTGAAAAAAAGTATTCGATATTTTATACAAAACTAATAACTAATATATTTTAGTATACTGCTCTTACTTTGTACGATTTTACGTTTTTTAATTTTCCACAAACAAATATAAAAATCCACTGTCTACAGATAAAATCTAACTGTTGAATCTTTTCTAAACAACAAACGAATTACTTATTCAAATCAAGACCATCAAAATTCCAAAGTTTTCTCTCGCAACTCCAATGACCTAATCCAAATTTCCAAGTCAACCCTTTACTATCCCTTAAACCATTCTAATTTTTAGTCGTCAATATACAAAATATCTTTAATTCTTTTAATTCTCAAATGAATAAATATCCACATTCTAACTCTCAAACATGTTTTAAACAATAGACAGACTTTTATTCAAATCAAAATCATCAAAATTCCAAAATTTTCTCTCGCAACTCCAAATTTCCAAGTCAACTCCTCATCTATTAACTCACTTTAATCCTCAGTCGTTAAATATACCAAAAGATCTTTGGTTTTTAAATTCTCAAATGAATAAATATCCACACTATAACTCTTAAATGTTTTTTAAACAACAGACAGACTTTTATTCAAATCAAAACCATCAAAATTCCAAAATTTTCTCTCGCAACTCCAATGACCTAATCCAAATTTCCAAGTTAACCTTTCACTATCCCTTAAACCATTTTAATTGTCAGTCGTCAAATATACCAAAAGATTTTTAATTCTTTTAATTCTCAAATAAATAAATATCCACACTTTAACTGTCAAACGTTTTTTAAACAATAGACAGACTTTTATTCAAATCAAAATCATCAAAATTCCAAAATTTTCTCTCGCAACTCCAAATTTCCAAGTCAACTCTTCATTATCTATTAACTCACTTTAATCTTCAGTCGTTAAATATACCAAAAGATCTTTGGTTTTTAAATTCTCAAATGAATAAATATTCACATTCTAACTCTCAAATGTTTTTTAAACAATAGACAGACTTTTATTCAAATCAAAACCATCAAAATTCCAAAATTTTCTCTCGCAACTCCAATGACCTAATCCAAATTTCCAAGTTAACCTTTCACTATCCCTTAAACCATTTTAATTGTCAGTCGTCAAATATACCAAAAGATTTTTAATTCTTTTAATTCTCAAATAAATAAATGTCCACACTCTAACTGTCAAACGTTTTTTAAACAATAGACAGACTTCTATTCAAAACCATCAAAATTTTTCACGCAATTCCAATAACTTAATCCAAATTTCCAAGCCGACTATTCACCATCTCTTAATCCACTTTAATCCTCAGAAGATCTTTGCCATAATGAAGATTTCTCTCGCTGAACACACACGCTTTCGCCTGCTTATGGGATCAACACCGTGGTTAATTGATGGTTGCCGGTATTTTTTTCTTCTCTTTTCCCTACTCTCGGAGAGCCTGATCGTCTCCCCCACCGGTTGCTGTCCCTTTTCCTTCGCCCGTGGGCCAAACGCTCGTGCGTGCGAATTTAAAGAACGTTCACCCTTCGCGGTCGAGGACCAGAGGCTCGCCCTACCGGAGAGCAGCTTTCGGTGGCTTTCGTCATTTTTCAGGAAAAATAAACGGGCGGATGTTCGACTATTGGCGAGATTTACGGCGCGACGCCACGTTCCACCGGTATTAATATGCGATCTCGAGTCGTTTGTGTGTTTATCGAAAGAGATATTGGAGGGTGGTGGCCCTTTGTAAGCGCGGCAAGGGAACCAAGAGATTTCGTGTCCGATGGACAAGGATTTATGCACGGAGAGAATAATTTCTCGATGATTTAGCAGGTTTGAAAGTTTGCAGAGGTTAGATACAAGATATTTCACTGTCCTTTTTGGACAATTTTCCACTTGCTTAAGTTCCGAGATATTGTGAAAGAACGTGTCGCCGCAAATTTCATACTTTGATAAATCATCGATTGGAGAAGTATCAAAGTTATTTTATTGATCGATGCTAAAGTAAAATAGGGGACACAAAGGGTTTGCA